CTGGGGCTGGGGCCCAGCAATCTGGTTTTTTGACCAGCCCTGCACCTCCAAGGGATGCCAACGCGCACTCACGCTCGAGAGCACCAGGACAATGGTTACGAGTTCAGATACCCAAACCCAAGGCCACTGGGGTTCGGATCCCAGCTATTGCACCCGTTTGTGATGGAACAGCTTCCAGGGCCCAATCTTCCCATCCATAAAATGGGGCCAAAGCGTCCCTCCCACATAGCTGGGCAGCATAACCGGCTTCAGCATTGCTTTTTTCCTTTTGAGATGGAGCGCAAGCAGGGAGGGGCAGAGAGAGAGAGAGAGAGAGAGAGAGAGAGAGAGAGAGAGAGAATCCCAAACAGGCTCTGTGCTTTTGTCAGCACAGAACCCCATGTGGGGCTTGAACTCACGAACTGTGAGATCATGACCTGAGCCTAAATCAAGGGTTTCTTGCAGACACCCCTCCTGGAGCCCAGTAGAACCAGTTCCATTATGGGAGGGGAATGCAAGCCAGCTGCAAAGCCTCCCCCAGTCTTCCAGGGTCTCCTGCTCAGAACCAGCCCTCCTCTGAGCACCCACCTCAAGCCTCTGTCTGTCAGCACCTCCAAAGTGAAGCCCCCTCCGGCACCCCTGTAGGAGCCTCTCCTCTTTTTAATGCCTCCCATCCTCCCCTCCCCCTGCTACAGCCACCATTTCACACTGTTCTCTGCCTCTGCTGCCTGGCCCTACCCTCCCTCCGCTTCCCCCTTCCCTCCTAGCCCAACAGAGCCAGCTCTCCCCCTTCCCCACCATTCCTTCCACACCCCTCCACTCCACCCAACTCTCCCCTCCAGGGCCAGAGCTCTCCACTGTCCCAGGGAGTCACCCCTAGGGTGGCCCCTGGGGCGTTCTCCTCCCCCTGAAATACTGCAGGATGGGCAGGAGCATCAGCACTCTGCCTCCTCCCCCTGGGCAGTACTCAGAGTAACCACCTGTGAGAGCCTCAGCTCTCCCCTCCCGCTCCCTCGCTTTCCTTGAGGTTCCGTATATCACAAAGGCTCAATAAATCCCAAGTCCTCATAGGGCCCATGCATCCCTGCCTCACGACCCACCTACCACATCTCTCTCTCTCCATTTCCGGTTTCTCCTGCCCCGTTCCCTGCGTTCCAGCCACGCTGGCCTCCTTTGCACCTGTTGTTTCCCTGGGACACAAATGCTCTTCCAATAGATACGAATTTGGTGGATTCTATCAGGTCTCTGCTCGATGGGCACCTCCTTAAAGAGGGTTTCCCAAGCTGCCATTCGAATATAGCACCTGCTTGGGGCACCTGGGTAGCTCAGCCGGTTGAGCCTCTGACTTCGGCTCAGGTCATGATCTCCCGGTTCATGGGTTCGAGCCCCGCATTGGGCTCTGTGCTGACAGCTCAGAGCCTGGAGCCTGCCTTGGGTTGTCTCCCTCTTTCTCTGTCCCTCCCCTGCTTGCACTCTCTCTCTTTCGCTCTCAAAAATAAATAAAACATTCAAATAAACAAACAAACAAAAAAAAAGGCTCAGTTGGGAAACTAGCTGGAAGAAAGACTCCATTGGCCTTGTTCAGCTTCTGGGGCCAGGAACAGCACGAACAGGGCCAGCCCTGCCTCAGCACTACACAGCCTTCGGTCCTGAGAAGTGCTAAGTAAGGACACTGGTGTTCATGGCCTGGCGGGATTTGGGTTTGTGTATTCACCTTTTAAACCAACTTCATTGCCATATAATTTACATCCCATAAAAGTCCATCACCCAGAAAATTCCCTTGCGCCCCTCAGCAGTCCAACTCCCACCCCGAGGATAACCACCGATAGGTTTTCTGCTGCAGTGGATCAGCGTTGCTTGCCCGTATATTAATGGAATCATCTAGTGTACTCTTTTTAATTCATTTTTTTTTACGGCTTTAATGAGGTTAAGCTGTAAAACTGATGTACAAAAAACCGCACTTATTCAAAGTGTACAATTTGAAGTGATGTTAACATATCCCTCCCCTGAAACTACCACAAGATAACCTCTTTTTTTTAAATTTTTTTAATGTTTATTTTTTAAAATGTTTATTCATTTTTTTAAATTTTCTTAACTTTTTTTTTTTAACGTTTATTTATTATTGAGAGACAGAGACAGAGCATGAGCAGGGGAGGGGCTGAGAGACAGGGAGACACAGAATCTGAAGCAGGCTCCAGGCTCTGAGGTGTCAGCACAGAGCCCGACGCGGGGCTCAAACTCACAAACCGTGAAATCATGACCTGAGCCGAAGTCGGACGCCCAACCGACTGAGCCACCCAGGTGCCCCCATTTATTCATTTTTTGATAGAGACAGAGCGTGAGTGGGGGAGGGGCAGAGAGAGAGGGAGACACAGAATCCGAAACAGGCTCCAGGCTCTGAACTGACAATACAGAGCCCGACGTGGGGCTCGAACTCACAAACCGTGAGATCATGACCTAAGCCGAAGTCGGACGCCCAACCGACTGAGCCACCCAGGTGCCCCTAATGCTTATTTATTTTTGAGAGTGAGACAGAGCGTTGAGCCAGGGAAAGAGAGAGAGAGGGAGACACAGAATCTGAAGCAGGCTCCAGCCCAGAGCCTGACGCGGGGCTCAAACTCACAGACAGCGAGATCATGACCCGAGCTGAAGTGGAAAAGTTAACCAACTGAGCCACCCAGGTGCCTCTACCACAAGATAATTTCAAGAAAATAAACATATCCATCACCCCCAAAAGTTTCCTCGTGTACCTCCCTCCCCACCCCAACTACGAATCTGCTGTCACTGTATATTAGTTTGCATTTTCAAGAACCATATACAGAATCATGCAGTATGTATTCTTTTGTGCCTGGCATCTTTCACTCAGCATAATTATTCTAATTAATGCATGTTGTTATATCAATACTTCAGGCCTCCCCACCACCCCGCCCCCACCCCCAGCAGCATCTCATGGTATAGGAAGACCACAGTCTAGTCATCCATTGACTTACTGATGAACATTAGAGTGTTTTCTAGTTTGGGACTCTTATGGCAAAAGCCACTATAAACATTTTTATGAAAGTGCATTTGTGAACATAAACTCTCGTGTATCTTGGGTAAATGCCTAGGCATGAAGTTGCTGGGCCATCGGGTAGATCTGTATTCAACTTCCTAAGAAATTGCCGAACTTTTTTTTCCCCCAAAGTGGTTGTACCACTTTACACACTCACCAACTGGCTAAAGTTGAACATCAAGCTTGTTCCTTCCTGTCTTTGGGCTTCTATACTTTTTCCTTCTTCCTTAAATGCCTTACCACTAGTTTTTAGCATGGCTGACTTCAGGTCTGCCCCCTAAATTCATACGTTGAACTTTGATATTAGTCGATACTAATATCACTAATATTGCGACAAACCAATGTCCTGTGCCTTCTGATGTGACACACTCAGGACACAACTTTCTTTCAGTGGCATTCCTGCCAAAAATGCATAATCTGAATCTAATCATGAGAACATATCAGACAAATACAAATTAAGGACATCTACAAAACAACTCCCCAGTACTCTTCAAAAATGTCAAAGTCATGAAAGACAAAGAAAGGCTGAGTAATTGACTGCTTCTCCAGATTAAAGGAAACTAAAAAGAGGGGACAACTAAAGGAAACCTGTGATCCTGAATTGGATCCGGGGGAATGGCTACATTATTGGGCCAATTGGCAAAATTTAAATATTAAAGGGGTGTTAAAAGAATCATACCATTGTTGAAATTCCTGATTTTGATAATTATACAGAGATTATGCAAGAGAATGTCCATGTTTCTAGGAAATATACACAGAAGTATGTGGGAGAAAGAGGCATAATGTCTGAAACCCACTCTAAAATGATTTGTGGGGAAAAAAAGTGTATGTGCATATTATACACACATACACAGGAGAGAATATGGTAATGCAAATGTAGCAAAATATAGCAATTTGTTATTCTGGTTAAAAGTATATGAGAATTCTTTACTATTCTTGCAATTTACATGTAAATTTGAAATGCGCCCCCCCCCCAACACACACAATTAGTCCTTTCGATGGATGCCCACATTATCAGAAGTGGCCTATTCCCAAACCCAAGGCACTCTTTCACATTCTCCATCATACTTACCAATGTCAAAAATTATTCTATTGTTTAGTTAATAATATCTAACATTTACTGCGTGTAAGGCCCTGTCCTGTTGTTTTAACTGTATAACTACAGTGATTCCTCCAACTACGGTTCCTCCCATCTTACAGATGAGAACTAAAGACACAAGAAAGTTAATTAACTTGCACAAGGTCACCCACATCGTTTGTCTCCTCCAGGGGCCTAGAACCTCAACTAAGGTAGAGATTGACTTGTTCACTGCTCTTTCCGCAGCGACTTACAACAGTGCCTAGCACATTACAGGAGTTCAATTAATACAGGTTCAGCTTAAAAATAACGAGCACCTACTAGGCACTGGAGTACAAAGCAGTGAACAAACTAGCACTTTCAGCCTTGCATCCTATTAGCCACCTTATATATATTTTGCTACTCTTAATATATGCATTTAAATTATATATATTTCATTTGGCGCTATCAACACTGGCAAGGTAAGGTCCAATCACCCATTTTGCAGAACAGAAAGCTGAGGCACGGAACGGGCCCATGATTTACCCAGAATCAAGGGGCTATGGGGGGCAGGGTGTGGATTCCAACCCAGGCCGGGCGGTTCCCAGGCACTACCTATGAATCAATCAAACCGACCAATCCAATCAACCAATCAGTATTTATTAGGCGCCTACTGAGCGCAGCCCCACTTCACCAAGCGAGGGCGAGGAGGGAGGGGGCTGCGGCGCGCAGTCGGCCGCGGAGGCTAGGAGGACACAGCGGATCGCGGAATTTGGCGCCTATTTTTTGTCGGCTGGGTGTTCTCGCCTGTGATTGGGCCCCGGCGCGGCGTGCCCGGTGCGCCTGGCTGCGGCTGCTCTGTCGACCTTGGCAAGACCCAGGCGGCGCGGTACTCGACCGGCCTCCCGGGGGATGGGCCACCAAGAGCCCCCGCTGGCCCGAGTACGGGCGGGAGGTGCGGCTTATATAAACAGGTTATGTAAAGGGCTCAGCTGGCGCGAACACGTGGAGAGCCGCGGGAGCCCGGACACCCGGTTCTCCCCCGCCAGCGCCGCTGCCACCCCCCGCACGGCAGCAGGCTTCGTAGCACACTCGGCCCGGGCCGCCGCCTCTGGCGCCGCTCTGTACAGGAGGCAGCCCTGGCCGGGAGCGGACCATCCCCAGCCCGGGACGCCAGGGGGGAAACGGGCCGCCCGGAAGTGGAGGGGCGCCGGCCAGGTAAGGGCGCAGTCTGCGGAGTCACAGCAGGCGCCGAGGCTGGAGCCACCCCCATCACCTCGGGCGCTTGGGGAGGGCAATCGGGCCCCCAGTTTGGCGGGCTCAGGGACGCGGAATTTTTAACCCAACCCGCCGCCCTCGGGGACTTGGGTCGGTCCGCCGGGCTCAGCTCTGGCTTAATTCAATGGACTGTTTACACCCGGGAGAACCTAAAGCGGGATGCGGGGAGGGGTATCCCAGAGGAGATCAGGCAGGGAAGAAGATTTCCACAGCCAGAATTGCTTCTTAAGGCAATTTTCTTAAATTGTAAAGACTGCTGGTCCTTGTTTTTTCTGTTTTTAGGCGACAGTTTAGTTGAGAAGACGGGGATGTTTTGCTTTTCTTTCCGGTTCCCCTCTGAGCCACAGTCTAGTGGTTTCGTCTTTCCCGCTTTCCCCTCCCCTCCCCTGTTCAGTCATCAGCGGCAGCTTCCGTCTTAAAGGGGCCGCGGCGGCCGGAGGAGGAGAAGGAGGAGGTGGGACGCCCTGCGGCCTGCGCTCCTAGCCTCCCTGTTTCGGCCTAGTTGGTTAACCAATCCTTTCGTCCGCAGGTCACAATCCAAGGTCCCGCTCCTCCACGTCCCGGGGCCGGACGGAGGGATGAGGCAGGGGGGACCCGGGCAGCGCCGTTGCTGCTCCCCCCGCCGCCCGCAGCCATGGAAACGGGGGAGGAGGACGGCGCCCGCAGAGGTACACAAAGCCCCGAGCGGAAAAGGCGAAGCCCTGTGCCGCGGGCGCCCAGCGCGAAGCTGAGGCCGGCAGCGGCCCAGGCCATGGATCCGGTGGCAGCCGAGGCCCCGGGCGAGGCCTACCTGGCGCGGCGGCGGCCAGAGGGCGGCGGCGGGTCGGCGCGGCCGCGGTACAGCCTGTTGGCAGAGATCGGGCGCGGCAGCTACGGCGTGGTTTACGAGGCAGTGGCCGGGCGCAGCGGGGCCCGGGTGGCGGTCAAGAAGATCCGCTGCGACGCCCCCGAGAACGTGGAGCTGGCGCTGGCCGAATTCTGGGCCCTGACCAGCCTCAAACGGCGCCACCAGAACGTCGTGCAGTTTGAGGAGTGCGTCCTGCAGCGCAACGGGCTAGCCCAGCGCATGAGCCACGGCAACAAGAGCTCGCAGCTTTACCTGCGCCTGGTGGAGACCTCGCTCAAAGGTAGGAGCGCCGCCGGCTGTCCCGCCCCCATGGGGCCTGGACCCGCTCCCCTGGATGGCTCGGCCCCGGCTGACCCCTAGACCCGTAGGCCCTGGTCCTGGTCCTGTCACCCTGGGCCCAGACACACCCTCCTTCCCAGGGCCCAGGCATTTGGGCCCTCTTCTCCTCTCAGGACCCGGGATCAGCCCCTGGTGCACACGTTAGCTGGTATTTTCGTAAAAAGGGCCCCTTAAGTGCTGACTATTATCTTAGTGCTCAATAAAGGCGAACTGTTATTAAACTTCTAGCACTTGGAAGTTCCACAGGGCCAGAAGGGGATTGGGTTCAGAGTTGGTGCAAGAACTTCACAGCTCCCTCTCTAGGGCCTCTTCTCTTTCCCTCCCAAAGCAAACAAAAAGAACTTTACTGGACCCACCCACACCTCCTCCCTGTCTGGTTCCAAATGTCCTGACACCCTCCAGCTCCACTCCCAAACTCTTAACTTTCTAGTGTTCCATTTTCCTTGGGGACCCCCCAGCCCATCCCAGGACAGTCAAACACACTGGTGGGTTTCCCTGGCTAAGTCCTCTGGGTCCTGCAGAATGATAACCCCCCTGGAGGGCCTAGAGCTGTCACCTAACTTGTAACACCTTTTTCCTCCTTTCCTCTGTTTTACATACTTAATCTTTTTCTTAACTCCCTAAGACTGGCTGTCTTGGGTATTTTTCTTCATAGTGAAGATGGGGCCCCAGGGAGGCAAAGGAACTTTGCAGTCATGGGAGGGCTAATCCTAATTTTTGGGTTTTAGCTGCTGTTAGGGCGTGAGTTCATGCTGAGTGTTCAGGTTTGTTCAGACTACAAGTAGCCAAGAATCTCTTCAGAGAGGAGAGGGCAGCTGGGCTAGAAAGGTCTTAGGAGACCTTCTCAAGGGAGAGGTCACCAATCTGAGTCCTAGCTAGGTCCTAGACTTTGGGTAATTTTAAAGGTAAACCCTTTCCTCTTTCTATAAATGAAGAAACTAAGGATTAGAGGTGAACAAATAGAAGTTGATGAGGTTAATCAGCTTGTACAGGAAAGTTGGGTTTCTTTACAGTTTTTCAGAGCTTAAGTGACAGTGAACCCAGATGTGTCTTGATTCAAGGCCTAGATTCTTTGAAATGGGTAATGATGCCCTCACTTCCCCAGAGAAAAAGGTGGAAGTGACCTTTAAGAATGGGTAGGATTTGGGGTGGGGCTGGATAGCGCATTTTATTTGAAGCTTTTGCCTGATTTTAATCTCCTGCAGCCCATCCCAAGAGAACTCTGTCCCATTTCAGTTGTTTGACAGTGGGTTGAGGGACATGATCTGTATCACCTGGGGTCCTATTTTTCAAAACAGGTTTTCACTTTTTATGCCCAGCCCTGCCTCCCACCTTAAAAAGCCCACCCTGTCTCCCCAGGGTAAAGACATTTGTTTTGAAAAGACTTTCCAGGAGATTTGAGCTTACCTGTGTTCTGCTCCCTCTTCGCTTCCGTTCTGAGGCTGTCTTCTCCCCTGGATAGTCTGGATTTCCATAATACAGGACTGCCTTGGGATGTGGGATTTCACACTTTGCCAGTGGTCCCCTTCTACCCTCAGTTCAGCGACGCCAATCTCGAAGTTTCCACCTGGGTGTGGAGTCTTGACTTCCTCTCCTTGCCTATAGATACTGTTCGAATTCTCTCGCATGTCGGATTTGTCAAAACTCCATGGTAAACGGCCGCAGCCTAGTCTGGTGGTTAATACCATAGGCTTTGGCGTTAGGCTCACTTTCAGTCCTGGCTTGTCTGAACTCACTACATGAGACCTACAACAAGTTGTTTAAAACCTGTGGGGAGCATTCCTCTATCCGTAAGATAAGTGTGCCTATGTCCTGAAGCTTGCGGTGCACTCTGGGAATGTCCCTAAGTGCTCAGGTCAGGAGGAACTAGCAGCCTCAGCAAGTTCAGTCCACACTTTGAATTCTCTGTCATCATCCCTCTTGAGATTCACTGTGTTCATGTTCAAGTTTCTGAAAAACTTGTCTGACCATGGAACCCATCCTGTTGTTTGCGTTGTCCATAACTCCAGGTGGAGGGAAAAACTGGTATCTTCTACCTCTTTGTGTGAATTAAAACCGGTCTAGAGAAAGGAAATTAATTTTGCTTTAGGGCACACACTTTAATTGTCCCTTTCAGTTGTAGGGAGTCTTCTATAAAGTGTGGGAGCCTCTACTGTGGGTCGGGTAACCCTCTGGGCTCAGAGCAATAAAGGAAATGTAGACAACCTAGCTGTTGAAACTAACATTGACATTTACATGTCAAATGTAAATTTAGCAAGCTGTAAATAGGCATTGTTTTCTGCTATTAGTATTAAAGTAAAGAACAAAAAGGCCCACTTTACTCTAGGTTAAGCTTTCCTTGCCTTCAGCTTCCAAAATTTGCAGTCTTAAACTGCCCTGGGGCGCTGCAGTATGCTGTTATCACTCAGAAATGTCCAAGCTGGAAGGAATCTTACAGATAATCTGGTTCAACCCTGTCATTAAACAAACTCTTCTGCGGTCACCTTTTGCCCAGTCTCCTGCAATTTAGACTAATTTTGAAATAGGCCAAAAAAGTGTTAATCTGATTTTAAAGCCTCGATTGAACCAAATCTACATAATTTTACTTAGTCCCCATAGTAGCATTTCTGGGGATTGCGGGGGGGGG